AGGCTAACCCTCCTCTTCTCAGAGGCTAACCCTCCTCTTCTCAGAGGCTAACCCTCCCGCTGCCTCCTGGTGCTGCAGAGATTTCATGAAGTGAAGGAGTAATCTGAAAGTAATCTGATTACGTTACTTTTTTAAGACACGTAACTGTAACTGTATTCGGATTACTTTCAGAGCCATGTATTCAGTAATCAGTAACGGATTACATTTACAAAGTAACCCTCCCAACCCTGACTATATATATATGCCGTTAATAACTGATCAATATATATATATATGCCGTTAATAACTGATCAATATATATATATATGCCGTTAATAACTGATCAATATATACCTGCTTCCAAACCATCAGAACTGTTCCAGGATGTGTATTTAGTAAAGTGTGTAATTATCTCTGAGATGTTGTGTATGCATGCTTCTCAGAGAACATGAAGCTGGAACAATGTCCCCTCTGGGACCAATAGCTAGCCACCGCTATGCTAGCAGCAGCTTTGCTAACAATGCTAAGATCAGAATCAGGGTTATTACCAGGTAGGTTAACCGTCAGTGAATGTTTTTGTTTTTGAATTTCCTTTTCACAAAAGGAAATTCAAAAACAAAAACGAGTGGATATTTAATTTTCGTTTTAAAATTGAAATACGAGGCATTTTTCTTTATCATGGGTTAGGGGTTTCACTTTTAGTTGGTCACATGTTGGTCACGTGTTGGTCATGTGTTGGTCGCATGTTGGTCATGTGTTGCAGTAAATCAACCAATAAGAAGGCAGCAGAGAGGAAGAAGAAGCTTCCTGCTCTGAGCTACAGCGCCGCCCGGCTGCAGGAAAAGGGAGTTCTGCTGGAGATCCAGGACCTGCCGCCAACACAGTGAGAACTACCATACATATTAATAACTGTTACTACCATACATATTCATAACTGTTACTACCATACATATTCATAGCTGTTACTACCATACATATTCATAACTGTTACTACCATACATATTCATAGCTGTTACTACCATACATATTCATAACTGTTACTACCATACATATTCATAGCTGTTACTACCATACATATTCATAACTGTTACTACCACTACCATACATATTCATAGCTGTTACTACCATACATATTAATAACTGTTACTACCATACATATTCATAACTGTTACTACCATACATATTCATAGCTGTTACTACCATACATATTCATAACTGTTACTACCACTACCATACATATTCATAGCTGTTACTACCATACATATTCATAACTGTTACTACCATACATATTCATAACTGTTACTACCACTACCATACGTATTCATAACTGTTACTACTGTACATATTCATAACTGTTACTACCATACATATTCATAACTGTTACTACCATACATATTCATAACTGTTACTACCGTACATATTCATAACTGTTACTACCATACATATTCATAACTGTTACTACCATACATATTAATAACCGTCACTACCATACATATTCATAACTGTTACTACCACTACCATACGTATTCATAACTGTTACTACCACTACCATACATATTCATAGCTGTTACTACCATACATATTCATAACTGTTACTACCATACATATTCATAACTGTTACTACCACTACCATACGTATTCATAACTGTTACTACTGTACATATTCATAACTGTTACTACCATACATATTCATAACTGTTACTACCATACATATTCATAACTGTTACTACCGTACATATTCATAACTGTTACTACCATACATATTCATAACTGTTACTACCATACATATTAATAACCGTCACTACCATACATATTCATAACTGTTACTACCACTACCATACATATTCATAACTGTTACTACCGTACATATTCATAACTGTTACTACCATACATATTCATAACTGTTACTACCATACATATTAATAACCGTCACTACCATACATATTCATAACTGTTACTACCACTACCATACGTATTCATAACTGTTACTACCACTACCATACATATTCATAACCGGTACTACCATACATATTCATAGCCTTTACTACCATACATATTCATAACCGGTACTACCATAGATATTCATAACCGTTACTACCATACATATTCATAACTGTTACTACCATACATATTCATAACTGTTACTACCATACATATTAATAACCGTCACTACCATACATATTCATAACTGTTACTACCATACATATTCATAACTGTTACTACCATACATATTAATAACCGTCACTACCATACATATTCATAGCCGTCACTACCATACATATTCATAACTGTTACTACCACTACCATACGTATTCATAACTGTTACTACCACTACCAATATTACTACCACTACCATACATATTCATAGCTGTTACTACCACTACCATACATATTCATAACCGGTACTACCATACGTATTCATAACTGTCACTACCATACATATTCATAACTGTTACTACATACATATTCATAACTGTTACTACCATATTCATAACCGTTACTACCATACATATTCATAACCGTCACTACCATACATATTCATAGCCGTCACTACCTTACATATTCATAACCGTCACTACCATCCATATTCATAACCGTCACTACCATACATATTCATAGCTGTTACTACCATACATATTCATAGCTGTTACTACCATACATATTCATAACTGTTACTACCATATTCATAACCGTTACTACCATACATATTCATAACCGTCACTACCATCCATATTCATAACCGTCACTACCATACATATTCATAGCTGTTACTACCATACATATTCATAACCGTTACTACCATACATATTCATAACCGTCACTACCATACATATTCATAGCCGTCACTACCATACATATTCATAACCGTCACTACCATACATATTCATAGCCGTCACTACCATACATATTCATAACCGTCACTACCATACATATTCATAACCGTCACTACCATACATATTCATAGCCGTCACTACCATACATATTCATAACTGTTACTACCACTACCATACGTATTCATAACTGTTACTACCACTACCAATATTACTACCACTACCATACATATTCATAGCTGTTACTACCACTACCATACATATTCATAACCGGTACTACCATACGTATTCATAACTGTCACTACCATACATATTCATAACTGTTACTACCATACATATTCATAGCTGTTACTACCATACATATTCATAACTGTTACTACCATACATATTAATAACCGTCACTACCATACATATTCATAACTGTTACTACCACTACCATACGTATTCATAACTGTTACTACCACTACCATACGTATTCATAACTGTTACTACCACTACCAATATCACTACCACTACCATACATATTCATAACTGTTACTACCACTACCATACATATTCATAACCGGTACTACCATACATATTCATAGCCTTTACTACCATACATATTCATAACTGGTACTACCATACATATTCATAACCGTTACTACCATACATATTAATAACCGTCACTACCATACATATTCATAACTGTTACTACCATACATATTCATAACTGTTACTATACATATTAATAACCGTCACTACCATACATATTCATAGCCGTCACTACCATACATATTCATAACTGTTACTACCATACATATTAATAACCGTCACTACCATACATATTCATAACCGTCACTACCATACATATTCATAACTGTTACTACCACTACCATACGTATTCATAACTGTTACTACCACTACCAATATTACTACCACTACCATACATATTCATAGCTGTTACTACCACTACCATACATATTCATAACCGGTACTACCATACGTATTCATAACTGTCACTACCATACATATTCATAACTGTTACTACCACTACCATACATATTCATAACTGTTACTACATACATATTCATAACTGTTACTACCATATTCATAACCGTTACTACCATACATATTCATAACCGTCACTACCATACATATTCATAGCCGTCACTACCATACATATTCATAGCCGTCACTACCATACATATTCATAGCCGTCACTACCATACATATTCATAACCGTCACTACCATACATATTCATAGCCGTCACTACCATACATATTCATAGCCGTTACTACCATACATATTCATAACTGTTACTACCATATTCATAACCGGTACTACCATACATATTCATAACCGTCACTACCATACATATTCATAGCCGTCACTACCATACATATTCATAACCGTCACTACCATACATATTCATAACCGTCACTACCATACATATTCATAGCCGTCACTACCATACATATTCATAGCCGTCACTACCATACATATTCATAGCCGTCACTACCATACATATTCATAGCCGTCACTACCATACATATTCATAACCGTCACTACCATACATATTCATAACCGTCACTACCATACATATTCATAACCGTCACTACCATACATATTCATAACTGTTACGCACCTTTCTCTGTGGGTTTTTTTTGTAGTGACGAATGAAGTTGGATGTTGTGGTGGTCGTGTCACTGATCTTTATGCTGCAGACCCTGCATACCGCTGTTCTCTTCTTATTAGCGTCATCGACAACATAATCCTTGAATCCAAACTTCACTATTTGTGGAGTAACGCTAGCCGCTGCCATGTTAACTGACACTCCTGCCGTCGAGTGGGTTGCCAGGTTTGCGCGCACGGCGCTATAATCACCCAATCACGTTTCGAAAAAACGAAACGTAATATCTCACTACAAAAACAAACGCAAATATTTAATTTTAAAAAGTCAAGTCCTTTCAAGTCATCTGTCTCAAGCTTAAGTCAAGTCTCAAGTCATGAATACCAAGTCAAAGTCAAGTCAAGTCTTTTATCAATGTTAGTCAAGCAAGTCTCAAGTCCAAAAATATGCGACTCGGGTCAAGTCATGTGACTCGAGTCCCCACCTCTGGCCTTTACCATAACACGTGTCACTGTTACTGCCTTTACCGTAACACGTGTCACTGTTAGTGCCTTTACCGTAACACGTGTCACTGTTGGTGCCTTTACCGTAACACGTGTCACGGTTACTGCCTTTACCATAACACGTGTCACTGTTACTGCCTTTACCGTAACACGTGTCACTGTTACTGCCTTTACCGTAACACGTGTCACTGTTACTGCCTTTACCGTAACACGTGTCACTGTTAGTGCCTTTACCGTAACACGTGTCACTGTTAGTGCCTTTACCGTACCACGTGTCACTGTTACTGCCTTTACCGTAACACGTGTCACTGCCTTTAACGTAACACGTGTCACTGTTGGTGCCTTTACCGTAACACGTGTCACGGTTACTGCCTTTACCGTAACACGTGTCACGGTTAGTGCCTTTACCATAACACGTGTCACTGTTAGTGCCTTTACCGTACCACGTGTCACTGTTACTGCCTTTACCGTAACACGTGTCACTGTTAGTGCCTTTACCGTAACACGTGTCACGGTTAGTGCCTTTACCATAACACGTGTCACTGTTAGTGCCTTTACCGTACCACGTGTCACGGTTAGTGCCTTTACCGTAACACGTGTCACTGCCTTTACCGTAACACGTGTCACTGTTAGTGCCTTTACCGTAACACGTGTCACTGTTAGTGCCTTTACCGTAACACGTGTCACTGCCTTTACCGTAACACGTGTCACTGTTACTGCCTTTACCGTAACACGTGTCACTGTTAGTGCCTTTACCGTAACACGTGTCACTGTTACTGCCTTTACCGTAACACGTGTCACTGTTAGTGCCTTTACCGTAACACGTGTCACGGTTACTGCCTTTACCGTAACACGTGTCACTGTTACTGCCTTTACCGTAACACGTGTCACTGTTAGTGCCTTTACCGTAACACGTGTCACGGTTAGTGCCTTTACCGTAACACGTGTCACTGTTACTGCCTTTACCGTAACACGTGTCACTGTTGGTGCCTTTACCGTAACACGTGTCACTGTTACTGCCCTTTACCGTAACACGTGTCACTGTTACTGCCTTTACCGTAACACGTGTCACTGTTGGTGCCTTTACCGTAACACGTGTCACTGTTAGTGCCTTTACCGTAACACGTGTCACTGATAGTGCCTTTACGTAACACGTGTCACTGTTACTGCCTTTACCGTAACACGTGTCACTGATAGTGCCTTTACCGTAACACGTGTCACTGTTAGTGCCTTTACCGTAACACGTGTCACTGTTAGTGCCATTACCGTAACACGTGTCACTGTTAGTGCCATTACCGTAACACGTGTCACTGTTACTGCCTTTACGTAACACGTGTCACTGTTAGTGCCTTTACCGTAACACGTGTCACTGTTACTGCCTTTACCGTAACACGTGTCACTGTTACTGCCTTTACCGTAACACGTGTCACTGTTACTGCCTTTACGTAACACGTGTCACTGTTACTGCCTTTACCGTAACACGTGTCACTGTTAGTGCCTTTACCGTAACACGTGTCACTGTTACTACCTTTACCGTAACACGTGTCACTGCCTTTACCGTAACACGTGTCACTGTTACTGCCTTTACGTAACACGTGTCACTGTTAGTGCCTTTACCGTAACACGTGTCACTGTTACTGCCTTTACCGTAACACGTGTCACTGTTACTGCCTTTACCGTAACACGTGTCACTGTTACTACCTTTACCGTAACACGTGTCACTGCCTTTACCGTAACACGTGTCACTGTTACTGCCTTTACCGTAACACGTGTCACTGTTACTGCCTTTACCGTAACACGTGTCGCTGTTACTGCCTTTATCGTAACACTTGTCACTGTTACTGCCTTTACCGTAACACTTGTCACTGTTACTGCCTTTACCGTAACACGTGTCACTGTTACTGCCTTTATCGTAACACTTGTCACTGTTACTGCCTTTACCGTAACACGTGTCACTGTTAGTGCCTTTACCGTAACACGTGTCACTGTTAGTGCCTTTACCGTAACACGTGTCACTGTTACTGCCTTTACCGTAACACTTGTCACTGTTACTGCCTTTACCGTAACACGTGTCACTGTTACTACCTTTACCGTAACACGTGTCACTGTTACTGCCTTTACCGTAACACTTGTCCGGTCTGTTCCAGGTTCAGGAACGTGGTGTTCGACATCGTGCCCGGCCCGGAGAGAGGGAGCTTCACCGTTAAAGCCCGGTTCCTGGGAGTGGAGATGGAGGAGTTCCTGCTGCAGTACCAGGTACAACCAAGCTAGATACTGAGCTAAACACTTAGCCAGATTCTGAGCTGAACTAGGCCAGATACTGAGCTAAATACTGAGCACAGCACAATAAATGCAATGTTATTAAAACCTGTGTGTGTGTTTAGGACCTGCTGCAGCTGCAGTATGAAGGCGTGGCGGTGATGAAGATGTTCGACAAAGCAAAGATCAACGTCAACCTGCTCATCTTCCTCCTCAACAAAAAGTTCTTCAAGAAATGAACCGAGTGAAGCTCTCACCTTTCACTCCTATCTCTGATGATGATTATATACAGCAGAGTGAAGCTCTCACCTTTCACTCCTATCTCTGATGATGATTATATACAGCAGAGTGAAGCTCCCACCTTTCACTCCTATCTCTGATGATGATTATATACAGCAGAGTGAAGCTCTTACCTAACACTCCTATCTCTGATGATGATTATATACAGCAGAGTGAAGCTCCCACCTTTCACTCCTATCTCTGATGATGATTATATACAGCAGAGTGAAGCTCTTACCTAACACTCCTATCTCTGATGATGATTATATACAGCAGAGTGAAGCTCTTACCTAACACTCCTATCTCTGATGATTATATTCAGCAGGGTGAAGCTCTTACCTAACACTCCTATCTCTGATGATGATTATATACAGCAGAGTGAAGCTCTTACCTAACACTCCTATCTCTGATGATGATTATATACAGCAGAGTGAAGCTCTCACCTTTCACTCCTATCTCTGATGATGATTATATACAGCAGAGTGAAGCTCCCACCTTTCACTCCTATCTCTGATGATGATTATATACAGCAGAGTGAAGCTCTTACCTAACACTCCTATCTCTGATGATGATTATATACAGCAGAGTGAAGCTCCCACCTTTCACTCCTATCTCTGATGATGATTATATACAGCAAAGTGAAGCTCTTACCTAACACTCCTATCTCTGATGATGATTATATACAGCAAAGTGAAGCTCTTACCTAACACTCCTATCTCTGATGATGATTATATTCAGCAGGGTGAATGAAGCATCTCAGTTTTTATATCATTACTTATCAATCATGAAGTTTGTTGACACTTTTGTTGTTGTTACATTATCTCCAAAGCTGAGTTACATTTTAATGTGTTATTGCACGTTACCAAGGGAACAGCATAGATGAATAATCATGATACAGATGGCTCACCTTCTATACCTGCTTTATACCTGACTACAGAGTGAGACATCCTGCTGCTCCTATCTCTGTTCACCTGTTTTAGTTTGGTTCACAAACATCTATGATGCCAATAACTGTAAATATTTTCTGTCACTTCCTGTTTGTTTTTTACTTCCTGTTTGTTTTCACCTCATTAAATATCTGAACATCTTTACCTGTTGTTTCTCATTCATTGAACCTGGTATTTGACAGGAAGTGATTCACCTGTAAACACCTGGAGGTTTCATGAATCATGTTTTTATTCCACATTTTCAGAAACAGAGTAAAAGAAGAAAAATATATCACAGATTCATCAGAGACGTTTCTATCTGCTAACAGGCTTACAAAAATACTCTCATTTATTTTAAACTTCAAGTATCTACGTACAACAAGCTCCATCACCTCAACCATTCCAAACCATTCAATCTGGTTTCATCCAGTTTAAAACTGTAAACGTGTAGAATGCAGTCTGAACCAGTTTAATCTGGTTTCATCCAGTTTAAACCAGTTTAATCAGGTTCAATCCAGTTAAACCATCCTATTCCAATTTACTCCATTTATAACTGGTTTAATTAAAATAGAACCAGTTTAATCCTGGTTAAATCAGTTGAATGCGGTTCAAACCAAGATATACCATTTTATTCTAATTTATTCCAGCTAAACTGGTTTAACTCAGTTTGGATAAAACTGAATCCAGTGTAAACAGTCCTTCACATCTTAATGGCACAAACGTTTTCTCCTCTGTTCAAAGTGTCAACAGGAAGCTTCTTAAAAACATTTCAGTCGCAGTCAAACTTTATAAACAATCAAAGATTCAGAGACGCTCGTTTCAGATAAACTTTACAAAAACAGAGTTTAACGTGTTTTCATCTCTGCATGTAGAGAACCCTAACCCTGTCCCATTTACTGCTATCCTGGCTATATGTAGCTATCTGTAGCTATCTGTGTTTATCTGTATCTGTAGTTATTTGTGGCTATCTGTAGCTATCTGTGATTATCTATATCTGTAGTTATCTGTGGCTATCTGTGGTTATCTATATCTGTAGTTATCTGTGGCTATCTGTGGTTATCTATATCTGTAGTTATCTGTAATTATCTGTGGCTATCTGTAGCTATCTGTGTTTATCTGTATCTGTAGTTATTTGTGGCTATCTGTAGCTATCTGTGTATATCTGTATCTGTAGTTATCTGTGGCTATCTGTGTTTATCTGTATCTGTAGTTATCTGTAGCTATCTGTGGTTATCTGTGGCTATCTGTGGTTATCTGTATCTGTAGTTATCTGTAGCAATCTGTGGCTATCTGTAGCTATCTGTGGCTATCTGTAGTTATCTGTAGTTATCTGTGGCTATCTCTAGCTATCTGTGGCTATCTGTAGTTATCTGTGGCTATCTGTAGTTATCTGTGGTTATCTGTGGCTATCTGTAGCTATCTGTGGCTATCTGTAGCTATCTGTGGTAGCTATATGTGGCTATCTGTGGCTATCTGTGGCTATCTCTAGCTATCTGTGGCTATCTGTAGTTATCTGTGGCTATCTGTAGCTATCTGTGGTAGCTATATGTGGCTATCTGTGGCTATCTCTAGCTATCTGTGGCTATCTGTAGTTATCTGTGGTTATCTGTGGCTATCTGTAGCTATCTGTGGTAGCTATCTGTGGCTATCTGTGGCTATCTGTAGCTATCTGTGGTAGCTATATGTGGCTATCTGTGGCTATCTCTAGCTATCTGTGGCTATCTGTAGTTATCTGTGGCTATCTGTAGCTATCTGTGGTAGCTATATGTGGCTATCTGTGGCTATCTCTAGCTATCTGTGGCTATCTGTAGTTATCTGTGGTTATCTGTGGCTATCTGTAGCTATCTGTGGTAGCTATCTGTGGCTATCTGTGGCTATCTGTAGCTATCTGTGGTAGCTATATGTGGCTATCTGTGGCTATCTCTAGCTATCTGTGGCTATCTGTAGTTATCTGTAGTTATCTGTGGCTATCTCTAGCTATCTGTGGCTATCTGTAGTTATCTGTGGCTATCTGTAGTTATCTGTGGTTATCTGTGGCTATCTGTAGCTATCTGTGGCTATCTGTAGCTATCTGTGGTAGCTATATGTGGCTATCTGTGGCTATCTGTGGCTATCTCTAGCTATCTGTGGCTATCTGTAGTTATCTGTGGCTATCTGTAGCTATCTGTGGTAGCTATATGTGGCTATCTGTGGCTATCTCTAGCTATCTGTGGCTATCTGTAGTTATCTGTGGTTATCTGTGGCTATCTGTAGCTATCTGTGGTAGCTATCTGTGGCTATCTGTGGCTATCTGTAGTTAGCTTATTAGATACTTCTTTAAATATCATCCTTCATTCAGGTCCCTTTAACCTGTTAGCATGTTAGCAGCTAGCACTCAGGATCTGTGGCAGGTTTCTGTGGAGAGCAGTCCTTAAAGGGACGGCAAACCTGAGCCATCTGCAGATCTGCAGCAGGTCTCGGTCTGAGAGGCCGTCTCCCTGTTGTTGAGGTTCATGCTAAGCTAAGCTAGCACTCTGCTGGTCTCACTGAGATGAGGGTCTCTGCAGGGACAGGAAGTAGGACTTCAGGGTGGTGGTCCTGGCTCTATTGCAGGTCTTTACAGTATTTACAGTCAGCAGGTTTTGGTTCAAACTGTCCACACAACGTCTTTGGAGTTTCATAAACAAGAAAACCAGGTTTCATCTAAACCCGGATCAGATCCAGAACCTGGTCAGTAAATAAAAACTCACAGAAACACAGCGATTATATGTGTGTAGTTACTGGAAGTACAGCGCAGCAGGTCCACACGAGACCACATCCTGCAGGACAGGGATTATAAACATGACGTCAGAGTCCACCTTCATCAGTCCTGCTTCAGGTTCCTCCGCTGACAGAAACAGACCTCAGTGCAAAGTGTGCATCAGTAAACATAGACCAGGTTTCAGTCTGCAAGGGATTGAAGTTGTAAACTGAGTCAAAAACATGAGAGGAGAGGCTCCTCAGAGACCTACAGGTCTTTAGTCTGGACTGAAAGGGTTTGGTGGTCTTTAGTCTGGACTGAAAGGGTCTGGTGGTCTTTAGTCTGGACTGAAAGGGTCTGGTGGTCTTTAATTTGGACTAAGAGCGTCCGTTGGTCTTTGGTCTGGACTGAAAGTGTCCGGTGGTCTTTAGTCTGGACTGAAAGGATCTGGTGGTCTTTAGTCTGGACTGAAAGGATCTGGTGGTCTTTAATTTGGACTGAGTGGGTCTGGTGGTCTTTAGTCTGGACTGAAAGTGTCCGGTGGTCTTTAATTTGGACTAAGAGCGTCCGTTGGTCTTTGGTCTGGACTGAAAGTGTCCGGTGGTCTTTAGTCTGGACTGAAAGGATCTGGTGGTCTTTAGTCTGGACTGAAAGGATCTGGTGGTCTTTATTCTGGACTGAGTGGGTCTGGTGGTCTTTAGTCTTGACTGAGAGAGTCTGGTGGTCTTTAGTCTGGACTGAAAGTGTCTGGTTGTCTTTAGTCCTGACTGAGGCCTCAGAGGGGGTCCTGGTGGGTGCGGCCCCCTCCCCCCCTCTCGGTTCAGATGGTGATGATATGATGAAGCAGGTTTACAGTAAACCCCCCCTTACAGTCTACCCAATGATTTGCCCCTCCTCAGTCCCCGCTGGACTCGAGGACCCTCTCCGCCAGGACCTCCTGGAAGGTGGAGAGCTGCTTCATCTGCTCGGTCTGCATCGAGTGCCTCCGCATCAGCTTCTTCTTCATCTTGAAGTCCGGACCCCGTTTGGGGGAGGCGGGGGCCACAGGGACCAGAATCTTGGGCCCAGCGTGGACCGGGGAGGTGGGTTTACCATTGGCCCGGATGTCAGGGATGGGTCTCTGAGGGTTGATGTTAAGGGGGGGCAGGAAGCCGGGCCTGGTGTGGGAGATGTGGTCCAGCAGGAGGGTCCCGGACCCCCGGCGCTCCAGGAGCCCCCGGCGGCGCAGGACGGGGGACACGGAGCTGGGGATGTTCTCCAGTGACTCCCTGGGGGACAGCAGAGACAAGGGGGACGCGTTGAAGCGCCGCCGATCCACCGACACCCGGCCCGAGTCCGGAGACCCGGGACTGGACTCCGGGCAGAGGTGGGTGTCGGACTCGTAGTGCTCCATGCGGGTCAGTTTGGGGTGGATCAGAGCCCGGGCCCCTCCTGGACCCCCAACGTTCTCCTGGGTCTCCGGGGCCGTGTTCCTGCGGTACAGGATCTGGTGCTGCTGGACCTTGTCGGCCCAGGAGGCCCCGGAGAGGGGGGCGTAGTCCTCCGAGACGGACCGGTCCATCAGTTTTGGGGAACAGGGGTCGTGGGTCTCGATGCTGTGTCGCCGGGACAACCGCGGTCTGACCGGGTCTGTGAGAGACAAGCCGTTCATCTGGAATATGGTGCTGCTGCAGCCCCCATCCTCAAGACCCCCGTCCCTCGGAGGAACCAGGACTGAGGCGGCCACCAGACCCCCGTCCCCCGTAGGAACCAGCACCGAGGGGGCCACCAGACCCCAGGGCTCCGAGTTCAGCCTCTTCAGCAGCTTGCGGGGGGGGCGGCCTCTTGTCTCCCGGGGGTCTGGCTGAGGGCAGCGGCAGAGCCGTGGTCAGCGCGAAGCTAAAGATCCCGTCCTGGTCTCCGGCCGGCGAGGAGGTCCGGATCTCCACGTCGGAGGGGGACATGCAGTCTGGAGCCAGCTTGTCCACGATGGCAGGGGAGGGGGGGGCGTTCAGGTACTGCTTGGTCTTCTTGGTGCCGGACGGAGACGTGTCGGAGGTGATGATTATCACTTCTTTCCCTTTGGCCTTGCAGGCGTCCAGCAGGACCTGCAGGGTGTCCCGGTCCCCCTTGTTGATGGCATGGACCAGAGCAGAGGAGCCGGAGTAGTCCTTGAGGCTGGGGTCCGCCCCGTTCTCCAGCAGCAGCGAGACCACCTCCCGGCCCGCCCGCTCCGCGCAGGCATGGATCAGCGCCGTGCGGCCGCACTTGTCCGGGATGTTGGGGTCGGCGCCCTTCTCCAGCAGGTAGCGGACCATCCTCTGCCGGGCCAGCGGGTCCTCGTAGGCCGCGAGGCAGGCGGCGCAGACCGGGGTCTCCCCGCGGTCGTTGCCCTCGTTGATGTAGGCGCCGCCTTCCAGCAGCAGGCGGGTCAGACGCAGCTTCCCCTGGAACACCGCCTTCAGGAGGGCGTTCCCCTCCGTCTGCAGGGGGACTCCATCTCCCATCATGCACCCCACCTCAGACCTCCTGCAGGCTGAGGGTCTGCCACAGAGTCACATGACCTGCAGGAGAAACCAGACCGAGTTCAGGTTCAGGTCTAGCAGGGACCCTGTTTCCTGTCACATTACCTGCAGCTCCTCCAATCACAAACCTGACCCCCACAATAACAGGAAATACAAAGGAAAGAGAGGAGGGCCCCCCCCCATGGAGGCCCCCCCCCCATGGAGGCCCCCCCCCCCATGGAGGGCCCCCCCCCCCATGGAGGGCCCCCCCCCATGGAGCGGACACACACCCGCTCTAAAGTCAACACTGATGAACTGAACATACACTGTGTTTACATTCAGTGAGAAAGGGACCATATGGACACACACACACACTCTCACACACACACACACACACTCTCACACTCTCACACACACACCCTCTCACACACACCACACCACCACACCACTCCTCACACTCTCACACACATCACACTCTCACACACAACAACCACACTCTCACACTCTCACACACACCACACTCTGCAACACACACACACACACACTCTCACCCACTCTCACCCACACCACACTCTCACCACCCCACACACCACTTACAACACTCACCACAACACACACTGCACTCACTCTCACCACCACACACACACACACTCACACCATCACACCATCACACCATCACACACACTCACACGCACACCACACACACCACTTCCACACTCACCCAACTCACACACACTCAGATGGACTTTTTGAACCTGTCAGGTGTTTGATAGTCCGTCAGATGGAGGATCAAACATGAATATGAAACGACCCCCCACATGTGTGTATTTATTTATGAAATATGTGAACACCACACACACACACACACACACACACACACACACACACACACACACACACACACACACACACACATGCTTGTATGATTTACACCATCAGAACTACAGACGCTTGTTTCCTCTGATGTTCTGATGTGCTGTAGTACACGGCCCGGCCACCAGGGGCTCTGCTGCTGACCTCATTGTTCCACAAAGTGTAATGAGATGTTCTCCAGTGAGTACGAGGCCTTCAGGACGCTCTGCAACCAGGTCTCCTCCATCAGGAGAAGCAGCTTCAGAAAGAAGCAGATATAGAAACCCAAATGTTCCTCATGAAGAAACATCTTCACAACACGTGCAGCGTCCAGGGGACACTAAAGAGTGACGCACACAGCTGGGAGACCAGGGGACACTAAAGAGTGACGCACACAGCAGGAGACCAGGGGACACTAAGAGTGACGCACACAGCAGGAGACCAGGGGACACTAAAGAGTGACGCACACAGCAGGGAGACCAGGGGACACTAAAGAGTGACGCACACAGCAGGAGACCAGGGGACACTAAAGAGTGACGCACACAGCAGGAGACCAAGGGACACTAAAGAGTGACGCACACAGCAGGAGACCAGGGGACACTAAAGAGTGACGCACACAGCTGGGAGACCAGGGGACACTAAAGAGTGACGCACACAGCAGGAGACCAGGGGACACTAAAGAGTGACGCACACAGCAGGAGACCAGGGGACACTAAGAGTGACGCACACAGCAGGAGACCAGGGGACACTAAAGAGTGACGCACACAGCAGGAGACCAAGGGACACTAAAGAGTGACGCACACAGCAGGAGACCAGGGGACACTAAAGAGTGACGCACACAGCAGGAGACCAGGGGACACTAAAGAGTGACGCACACAGCTGGGAGACCAGGGGACACTAAAGAGTGACGCACACAGCAGGAGACCAGGGGACACTAAAGAGTGACGCACACAGCAGGAGACCAGGGGACACTAAAGAGTGACGCACACAGCAGGAGACCAAGGGGACACTAAAGAGTGACGCACACAGCAGGAGACCAGGGGACACTAAAGAGTGACGCACACAGCTGGAGACCAGGGGACACTAAAGAGTGACGCACACAGCAGGAGACCAGGGGACACTAAAGAGTGACGCACACAGCAGGAGACCAGGGGACACTAAAGAGTGACGCACACAGCTGGGAGACCAGGGGACACTAAAGAGTGACGCACACAGCTGGGAGACCAGGGGACACTAAAGAGTGACGCACACAGCTGGGAGTCCAGGGGACACTAAAGAGTGACGCACACAGCAGGAGACCAAGGGACACTAAAGAGTGACGCACACAGCTGGAGACCAGGGGACACTAAAGAGTGACGCACACAGCAGGAGACCAGGGGACACTAAAGAGTGACGCACAGAGCTGGGAGACCAGGGGACACTAAAGAGTGACGCACACAGCTGGGAGACCAGGGGACACTAAAGAGTGACGCACACAGCTGGGAGACCAGGGGACACTAAAGAGTGACGCACACAGCTGGGAGACCAGGGGACACTAAAGAGTGGATGCACACAGCTGGGAGACCAGGGGACACTAAAGAGTGACGCACACAGCTGGGAGTTCAGGGGACACTAAAGAGTGACGCACACAGCTGGGAGACCAGGGGGACACTAAAGAGTGAGCACACAGCTGGGAGGACCAGGGGACACTAAGAGTGACGCACACAGCTGGGAGACCAGGGGACACTAAAGAGTGACGAACACAGCTGGGAGACCAGGGGACACTAAAGGTGACGCACACAGCTGGGAGACCCAGGGGACACTAAAGAGTGACGCAACAGCTGGGAGACCAGGGGACACTAAAGAGTGACGCACACAGCTGGGAGACCAGGGACACTAAAGAGTGACGCACACAGCTGGGAGACCAGGGGACACTAAAGAGTGACGCACACAGCTGGGAGACAGGGGACACTAAAGAGTGACGCACAAGCTGGAGACCAGGGGACACTAAAGAGTGACGCACACAGCTGGGAGACCAGGGGACACTAAAGAGTGACGCACACAGCTGGGAGACCAGGGGACAATTAAAGAGTGGACGCACACAGCTGGGAGACCAGGGGACACTAAAGAGTGACGCACACAGCTGGGAGACCAGGGGACACTAAAGAGTGACGCACACAGCTGGGAGACCAGGGGGACACCCTAAGAGTGACGCACACAGCTGGGAGACCAGGGGACACCAAAGAGTGTCGCACACAGCTGGGAGACCAGGGGACACCAAAGAGTGACCGCACAGAGCGGGAGACCAGGGGACACTAAAGAGTGACGCACACAGCTGGAGACCAGGGACAACTAAAGATGACGCACACAGCGGGAGCCAGGGTGACACTAAAGAGTGACGCACACAGCTGGGAGACCAGGGGACACTAAAGAGTGACGCCCACAGCTGGGAGACCAGGGGAACTAAAGAGTGACGAACACAGCTGGGAGACCAGGGGACACTAAAGAGTGACGCACACAGCTGGGAGACCAGGGGACACTAAAGAGTGACGCACACAGCTGGGGAGACCAGGGGACACTAAAGAGTGACGCACACAGCTGGAGACCAGGGGACACTAAAGAGTGACGCACACAGCTGGGAGGACCAGGGGACACTAAAGAGTGACGCACACAGCTGGGAGACCAGGGGACACTAAAGAGTGACGCACACAGCTGGGAGACCAGGGGACACTAAAGAGTGACGCACACAGCTGGGAGACCAGGGGACACTAAAGAGTGACGCACACAGCTGGGAGACCAGGGGACACCAAAGAGTGTCGCACACAGCTGGGAGACCAGGGACACTAAAGAGTGACGCACACAGCTGGGAGACCAGGGGACACTAAAGAGTGACGCACACCAGCTGGGAGACCAGGGGACACTAAAGAGTGACGCACACAGCTGGGAGACCAGGGGACACCAAAGATGACTCCACAGCTGGGAGACCAGGGAACCAATAGAGTGTCGCACACAGCTGGGAGACCAGGGGACACCAAAGAGGGACGCACACAGCTGGGAGACCAGGGGACACTAAAGAGTGACGCACACAGCTGGGAGACCAGGGGACACTAAAGAGTGACGCACACAGCTGGGAGAACCAGGGGACACTAAAGAGTGGACGCACACAGGTGACGTTAAGGATTATAAAGCTGACTAAACTGTCTCTGTTGTTGGAAACTAAAATGATTGATGGTCTTATTGGACGATGTGGTCACATGACTCCTGACGATGTGGTCACATGACTCCTGACGATGTGGTCACATGACTCCTGACGATGTGGTCACATGACTCCTGACGATGTGGTCACATGACTCCTGACGATGTGGTCAACATGACTCCTGATGTCACTGCAGATCTGCAGCGTTTGGTTTCTGCAGCGTTTAGTAAAAGCTGCAGCTCGTTTCTCCTGATGGAAGAGTTTGAGACGTTATAACAGGTAACACCTGCTGGCCTCCGTACAACAAGCACTACCACACACACACAGGACACACACACACAGGACAGACACACACACCACACACAGGACACACACACACACACAGGACACACACACACACACACCACACACAACACACACACAACACCACCACACACACACCACAGGACAGACACACACACAGAGGACACACACACAGGACACACACACAGGACACACACACACACAGGACACACACACACACACACACACACACACACAGGACAGACACACACACACACAGGACACACACACACACACAGGACAGACACACACACACAGGACACACACACACACACAGGACACACACACACACACATACACACACAGGACAGACACACACACACACATGATGAAGATGGACTCAGACGGTCACATGACCCCTGTTGGAGGAATGCAGCAGCTCACTGGCTCAAGAGCCTCTCAGTCACTGATTCCTGACGCAGTCCTTTCTATATATACCACACACACTCCTCATTCAACCCTGGCCCCGCACACACGCACACGCACACACCACCACACACCAACACACACCCACACACACACACACACACACACACACACACACACACAGGATCAGATGGAGGGTTTCTGCTGCATCATCATCTTCAAACTGACACATTTGCTTACCTCACAGCGGTGTTTGTTTAAAATCCACCCCCACAGACAGACACACACACACACACACACACACACACACACACACAACACACACACACACACTGGGAGCAGCGTTAGCAGCTGATGGAGATGAAGATGAAGGAAACATGCAGCTTCTCACCGCCGAGCCGAAGCAGCTCCATCATCCGACGGTTATTGTCCGTTAATGTCCGTTAATATCCGTTACTATCCTTTACGACCGTTACTGTCCGTTACCGACCGTTACTGTCCGTACCGACCGTTACTGTCCGTTACCGACCGTTACCGACCGTGTACTGTCCGTTACCGACCGTTACCGGGCCGTCGGTTTCCTGTCTGAGCACCGCGAGCACCGAGTCTCCTCCCGCAGAGCCGCTCCGGCCCCCCCCCACCTGCCAGAATAAAGGAAACAGAGAATCATCAGCTACAGACTGAACAAACACACACACACACACACACACCAACACACACACACACACACACACAGATATGTATATATGGGTTTAAGTGACCCAGCAGCTCTATGCATTCACGGAATTGCGAATTTAAATAAGTAATATTGATTTACAAAACTATCACCTATCAATATGAGGATTTGAGTAAGAGAATGATCAGGCCTCACTGTGTACTCCTGCCAGGTACTGCAGTACACACATACACGGGTTGGGAGGGTTACTTTGTAAATGTAATCAGTTACTGATTACTGATTACATGGCTCTGAAAGTAATCCGAATACAGTTAGAGTACGTGTCTTAAAAAAGTACGTATTCAGATACTTTCAATGACTTTCTCTTTCCATCACAGATGGGTATGTGTTGGTGAACGAGGACACACAAAGCAAAAGGAAACTGAAGGTGTTTTTACTGTTTGAATAACTTATCAAGAGCAACTGAAACATGACATCTGGAAGGATGTCACAACATGATACACTTTTTGGGGATGCAGCTTGGGATGTGAGGAGTGAGGGGCACGGCTTAGCGGGCGGGTCGCCTTCTGTCCTGCAGTGTTGGCGTTGAATTAAAATGTCGAACTCGGACTTCATTTGAAGGACCTGTCGGCCAGGGGTTAGAGCTAGAGTGTGTGCACCAGTCTGCCTTGATCTATGAACTCATGTCCGTGACTCTCACAGTATCTGCTGCTCACAGCTGGTTTAGAGAACCTCCTTCACTTCATGACATCTCTGCAGCACCAGGAGGCAGCGGGAGGGTGAGCCTCTGAGAAGAGGAGGGTGAGCCTCTGAGAAGAGGAGGGTGAGCCTCTGAGAAGAGGAGGGTTAGCCTCTGAGAAGAGGAGGGTGAGCCTCTGAGAAGAGAAGGGTTAGCCTCTGAGAAGAGGAGGGTTAGCCTCTGAGAAGAGGAGGGTGAGCCTTGAGAAGAGGAGGGTTAGCCTCTGAGAAGAGGAGGGTTAGCCTCTGAGAAGAGGAGGGTGAGCCTCTGAGAAGAGGAGGGTTAGCCTCTGAGAAGAGGAGGGTGAGCCTCTGAGAAGAGGAGGGTTAGCCTCTGAGAAGAGGAGGGTGAGCCTCTGAGAAGAGGAGGGTGAGCCTCTGAGAAGAGGGGGTGAGCCTCTGAGAGAGGAGGGTTAGCCTCTGAGAAGAGGAGCGCACAGAGCCTTCACTGTGCTTACCTTCAGAGTCATTAGAAAGGCTACGAGGGACAGGCTGATGTGTTTTAAACCACACACACACACACACACACACACACACAACAACACACACACCCACACACACACACACACACACACACACACCAACACGCGATTTAAACGCAGACTTTTGTTCCTCCATGTCTCGTTGGTGTTGGTCTCACTGAGCGACCCGCACAGGGTCCATCTGCGGCGGGTAATAGGTTTTGTGCGCTGTGATGATTCGGCTGTACCTTTAGTAATGAATATTAAATGTTGTGAGGAAATCTTTCCACCAATAATTCCAATAAGTATTCCAAAAGTATTCACTTCAGGTTTACGAAAGTAACTGTAATCAGATTACTCGTTTTTTCAAATGTAATGCCAGCTGATACAGTTACTTGATTTTTGTATTCTGATTACGTAACGCCGTTACATGTATTCCGTTAACGACCCAAACCCTGCATATATATATATATATATACTGTACTACTTGCCAGGTACTGCAGTACACATAGACATTGATATACATGTTACTACTGCCAGGTACTGCAGTACACATAGACATTGATATACATGTACTACTGCCAGGTACTGCAGTACACATAGACATTGATATACATGTACTACTACCAGGTAACTGCAGTACACATAGACATTGATATACATGTACTACTACCAGGTACTGCAGTACACATAGACATGATATACATGTACTACTGCCAGGTACTGCAGTACACATAGATATTTATATACATGTACTACTACCAGGTACTGCAGTACACATAGAAATGTATATACATGTACTACTACCAGGTACTGCAGTACACAGAGTCCAGCTCAGTCAGTAGGGTCGCTGGTTCAAGTCCCCGACCAGACCTAAATATGGAGTGTGGACTGTCCACCTCCTGGTCCTCTGTCCACCTCCTGGTCCTCAGTCCACCTCCTGGTCCCAGTCCACCTCCTGGTCCCAGTGTCCCAGTCCACCTCCTGGTCCCAGTGTCCCAGTCCACCTCCTGGTCCCAGTGTCCCAGTCCACCTCCTGGTCCCAGTCCACCTCCTGGTCCCAGTCACCTCCTGGTCCCAGTCCACCTCCTGGTCCCAGTCCACCTCCTGGCCCCAGTCCACCTCCTGGTCCCAGTGCCCAGTCCACCTCCTGGTCCCAGTGTCCCAGTCACCTCCTGGTCCCAGTGTCCCAGTCCACCTCCTGGTCCCAGTCCACCTCCTGGTCCCAGTCCACCTCCTGGTCCCAGTGTCCCAGTCCACCTCCTGGTCCCAGTGTCCCAGTCCACCTCCTGGTCCCAGTGTCCCAGTCCACCTCCTGGTCCCAGTCCACCTCCTGGTCCCAGTCCACCTCCTGGTCCCAGTCCACCTCCTGGCCCAGTCCACCTCCTGGTCCCAGTGTCCCAGTCCACCTCCTGGTCCCAGTGTCCCAGTCCACCTCCTGGTCCCAGTGTCCCAGTCCACCTCCTGGTCCCAGTCCACCTCCTGGTCCCAGTCCACCTCCTGGTCCCAGTGTCCCAGTCCACCTCCTGGTCCCAGTGTCCCAGTCCACCTCCTGGTCCCAGTGTCCCAGTCCACCTCCTGGTCCCAGTCCACCTCCTGGTCCCAGTCCACCTCCTGGTCCCAGTCCACCTCCTGGTCCCAGTCCACCTCCTGGCCCCAGTCCACCTCCTGGTCCCAGTGTCCCAGTCCACCTCCTGGTCCCAGTGTCCCAGTCCACCTCCTGGTCCCAGTGTCCCAGTCCACCTCCTGGTCCCAGTCCACCTCCTGGTCCCAGTCCACCTCCTGGTCCCAGTCCACCTCCTGGTCCCAGTCCACCTCCTGGTCCCAGTCCACCTCCTGGTCCCAGTACTATATGGGTTAGAAGCAGAGGCTGTATGTGTGACCATTAAAGAGGGTTTCATCCTCCAACTCTATCTTCTACAGCAGGGGTTCCCAACCCTTTGTCCCAAGAGCCCCCCCCCCCAAATGACTCCTGTTGGAAGGTCCAATTACTGCTGCTGCGCAAATAATGTGAAAGCGGAAAATAATGTGCTGCATGCACAGCGTTACAACATCGGGCCTTCAAAATAAAAGTTTGACTTTTTTCCCCGAAAAAAAAAGGATTTTTTTTTTTTCACTCACACATCTGTGACCCACTCGAAACGGGTCCGGGTCGCGACCCACCAGTTGAGAACCACTGCTCTAGATGATAGGAAAGGGTTAAACTTCCTTTATAACCTCCATTAGCTTAGGAACCACTGGACCTTCCTTTAGGAAAGGAGAGGAGAAAGTGCTGCCCCACAATGCCTTGCGGCCGCAGCATTTGCCGTCACACAACAGTCGGCCGTTCACGGAAACAACCGATTATGACCGAGAAATGATATCATGAAAGTTACGGTGCTTATTAAGCTTTTTAAAACGTATGTGGTAAGTTGCCAAAGTGCTTTGTTTTGAACGTTCATCAGTATTAGCCGCTTTCACACCAAGTACTTTGCCGTACTTAGTGTCCAGCACTTAGTGTCCAGCACTTAGTTCCCAGCACTTAGTACCCAGCACTTAGTGTCCAGCACTTAGTGTCCAGCACTTAGTGTCCAGCACTTAGTGTCCAGCACTTAGTTCCCAGCACTTAGTGTCCAGCACTTAGTGTCCAGCACTTAGTGTCCAGCACTTAGTTCCCAGCACTTAGTACCCAGCACTTAGTGTCCAGCACTTAGTGTCCAGCACTTAGTGTCCAGTACTTAGTGTCCAGCACTTAGTACCCCCATGGAACTTAGTACAGATCGCGTTCACAGGAATAAGTTCCCTGAGGGAGGATTACGCAAATGAAGCCGCTGACGTCTTCTTCTGCTTTGGGTTTACTGGCAGGCCGCAAACCACTTCACGGCGTATACTGCCACCCGGAGTCCCCGGACGGAAGTCCCCGGAGTTGGACTAAATCGCCAGAACGCCGACACCTCCTCATCTCCACCGCTCCCATGTTTTTTTTGTGTTGCCATAAGTTAGTCTCTCTCCGTTGGTGCGCGGGGCTAATGCTAATGCTAAAAATGCTAATGCCAGCAAATACAATGGCGGCTTCACAAAACTTTTCAGAGTTTTACGGGGCGTGGTTTGCAATTCGACCAGCCAATCAGAAATTGGTATTTTTTCTCCCCAGGAAAGTACCACCTCTCTAGCAGGGACTAACTGGGGGTAAAAGTTCTCTGAACTAAGTTCTCTTTTTTGGTGTGAAAGCAAAATTCCAGGCACTAACGGAACTAAACGGGAAAAGTACTCCAGTGTGAACGCGCCTATTATAATCAAAAAGAGAAATATGAACGTTAGTTTTTACTGAAATGATCAAATAAAGTCAACATTTCACAGTCTTTACTGAGCTGTGTGGGGTTTGTTCAACTTTTAAAAGATGTTTGAATGGTGATATACACAGTGATAGATGTTAAGGACTAACGTTTATAATAAATACATTTGTATTGATTTGAAGATCTTTTCATACAGTCATACGTATTGGGATCATTTGTATTAATGTGGACCGGAGGGAGAGGGTGACGAGCATAAGTTTCACTTTCCTTTTTTATTTCAATTCCAACTTTGGTCATGAAGAATATGTTTCTCTGTTGTCCCCGTTCATAAAGCATAACAGCATCAGAGCACGGTGCAGAGTCTCTAGATGAGTTTACAGTAGTCCCTCGTTCTTATTAAACATCCATGTTGTAGTCCGCTGTATAGAAAACTGTAGTTTCCATAGTTTCCCCACAGCAGCAGGCGCACATTATGACCTCTGCTGGCGCATCATAAACACGGATAGTGAAAGTGCAGTCGATTCTCTAAAGTACCGCAGTCTCTTTCCTAAGTCCTTTTGAATCCTCCTATCCACTATTCCTTAACCCTGTGACCTTTCTCTCAGAGGTCAAGGGATAGACGATAGGGTTAGAACTTAGGAGCTGATTTTTGGACTATTGGACCTCAACCCTGCTCTGTACAACACTTCCTGTTAGCGTGTCGTGTGTCCTAAAGCTGCGGCGTTGTTGGTGTTTAACAAGACACGCTGGCGAGGAGGCGGGGCTTATCTCCATGTGTATACCAACAACAACAACAACAACAACAGTATTTTGATGTCAACGCGTATCAGAATACGGAGAGTTCAAGATCAACAGTGTTTCTGTAAACACACACACACACACACACACACACACACACACAACACAGACACACACACACACATACACACACCACCGAGCCCCGGACACACATTTATTTATTGTTGGTGTGTATTTGGTGAATCGTGGTTAACCGTCACTAAGACAGGTGTGTGTGTGTGTGTGTGTGTGTGTGTGTGTGTGTGTGTGTGTGTGTGTGTGTGTGTGTGTGTGTGTGTGTGTGTCACCGTGGGAACACTTCTGCAGGAATCCAGCACATCAGTTGCCATAGAAACTGAGTTACCATAATAGCAACAGTCTGATTTATTCCTGTCAGCACTGAGGGGGGGGGTCTTATATAAACACTTATATTTATGTAAGCGTGATGTCATCACTCCACCTGCTGACTCTACCTCTGAGGGTCAAAGATCAACGACCGGCTGAGTTCACCGCTGCAGCCAATCAGAGGAGAGCATGCATCTTCTTCTTCTTCTTCTTCTGCTCGTCTCTGGATCATGCACACTAAAGGAAGCCCCTCCTGGTAAGACCCTTTATTAATGAATGTTTGTTGTTCCTCACGTTCTCTCTGATCTGTTGTTCCTCACGTTCTCTCTGATCTGTTGTTCCTCACGTTCTCTCTGATCTGTTGTTCCTCACGTTCTCTCACGTTCTCTCTGGTCTGTTGTTCCTCACGTTCTCTCTGATCTGTGGTTCCTCACGTTCTCTCTGATCTGTGGTTCCTCACGTTCTCTCTGATCTGTTGTTCCTCACGTTCTCTCTGATCTGTGGTTCCTCACGTTCTCTCTGATCTGTGGTTCCTCACGTTCTCTCTGATCTGTTGTTCCTCACGTTCTCTCTGATCTGTTGTTCCTCACGTTCTCTCTGATCTGTTGTTCCTCACGTTCTCTCACGTTCTCTCTGATCTGTTGTTCCTCACGTTCTCTCACGTTCTCTCTGATCTGTGGTTCCTCACGTTCTCTCTGATCTGTTGTTCCTCACGTTCTCTCTGATCTGTTGTTCCTCACGTTCTCTCTGATCTGTTGTTCCTCACGTTCTCTCTGATCTGTTGTTCCTCACGTTCTCTCTGATCTGTGGTTCCTCACGTTCTCCTCTGTTCTGTTGTTCCTCACGTTCTCTCTGATCTGTCGTTAGGAGCACATTAACCTGTGTGTGTTGTAACAGCGTCTGCTTCACGTTAAACACAAGTCATATTTTATAAATCAGTAATATCTCCTACAACAAGGGGGCGAATAGACAGGTTGTGTGTATATATTATACATACATATATATATATATATATATATATATATGTATATATAGATGTTTATATGTATATTCAGATATCGTTGATTTAAAATAAAGCTTGAGTTGTTATCTGCCCCGAACTTTAAACCTTCAGTGTTTCCAGTTTTCTGAGAAAGGGTCCTGCAGATAAAACTGTGAATGATCTGTGGACATCAGCGAGTTCACTTCACAAGTCAAAACTCTATATACACACATATATATATACCTGTATTCCTGAAATCAATATCTATACATCTATTCAATTCAAGGCTTTATCATCATGTAGCAGCTACAGTGAAGTCCTCCAACAGGCACATGAATATAGAAAGGACATGAAACACATACAATAGTGCAAGAAGAGTCTATTAGGGGTGATAGGTGATATCACAGTTCTAGGGGGTCCGGTGATATCACAGTTCTGGGGTCAGGTGATATCACAGTTCTAGGGGGTCAGGTGATATCACAGTTCTAGGGGGTCAGATGATATCACAGTTCTAGGGGGTCAGGTGATATCACAGTTCTAGGGGTCAGGTGATATCACAGTTCTTGGGGTCACAGTTCTTGGGGGTCAGGTGATACACAGTTCTAGGGGGTCAGGTGATATCACAGTTCTAGGGGGTCAGGTGATATCACAGTTCTAGGGGTCAGGTGATATCACAGTTCTTGGGGTCACAGTTCTTGGGGGTCAGGTGATATCACAGTTCTAGGGGGTCAGGTGATATCACAGTTCTAGGGGGTCAGGTGATATCACAGTTCTAGGGGGTCAGATGATATCACAGTTCTAGGGGGTCAGGTGATATCACAGTTCTAGGGGGTCAGGTGATATCACAGTTCTTGGGGTCACAGTTCTTGGGGGTCAGGTGATATCACAGTTCTAGGGGTCAGGTGATATCACAGTTCTAGGGGTCAGGTGATATCACAGTTCTAGGGGTCAGGTGATATCACAGTTCTTGGGGTCACAGTTCTTGGGGGTCAGGTGATATCACAGTTCTAGGGGGTCAGGTGATATCACAGTTCTAGGGGTCAGGTGATATCACAGTTCTAGGGGTCAGGTGATATCACAGTTCTAGGGGTCACAGTTCTTGGGGGTCAGGTGATATCACAGTTCTTGGGGGTCAGGTGATATCACAGTTTTAGGGGGTCAGGTGATATCACAGTTCTTGGGGTCACAGTTCTTGGGGGTCAGTTGACATCACAGTTCTAGGGGTCAGGTGATATCACAGTTCTAGGGGTCAGGTGATATCACAGTTATAGGGGTCAGGTGATATCACAGTTCTAGGGGTCAGGTGATATCACAGTTCTTGGGGTCACAGTTCTTGGGGGTCAGGTGATATCACAGTTCTAGGGGTCAGGTGATATCACAGTTCTAGGGGGTCAGGTGATATCACAGTTCTAGGGGGTCAGGTGATATCACAGTTCTAGGGGGTCAGGTGATATCACAGTTCTAGGGGGTCAGGTGATATCACAGTTCTAGGGGGTCAGGTGATATCACAGTTCTTGGGGTCACAGTTATTGGGGGTCAGGTGATATCACAGTTCTAGGGGTCACAGTTATTGGGGGTCAGGTGATATCACAGTTCTAGGGGTCAGGTGATATCACAGTTATTGGGGGTCAGGTGATATCACAGTTCTAGGGGTCAGGTGATATCACAGTTATTGGGGGTCAGGTGATATCACAGTTCTAGGGGGTCAGGTGATATCACAGTTCTAGGGGGTCAGGTGATATCACAGTTCTTGGGGGTCAGGTGATATCACAGTTCTAGGGGTCAGGTGATATCACAGTTCTAGGGGTCACAGTTCTTGGGGGTCAGGTGATATCACAGTTCTGGGGGTCAGGTGATATCACAGTTCTTGGGGTCACAGTTCTTGGGGGTCAGGTGATATCACAGTTCTTGGGGGGTCAGGGGGTCCAGGTGATATCACAGTTATTGGGGGTCAGGTGATATCACAGTTCTTGGGGTCACAGTTCTTGGGGGTCAGGTGATATCACAGTTATTGGGGTCAGGTGATATCACAGTTCTAGGGGGTCACAGTGATATCACAGTTATTGGGGGTCAGGTGATATCACGTTCTAGGGGTCAAGTGATATCACAGTTATTGGGTAGGGTCACGTTCTTGGGGTCAGCGGTGATATCACAGTTCTTGGGGTCACAGTTCTTGGGGGTCAGGTGACATCACAGTTCTTGGGGGTGATATCACAGTTCTTTGGGGTCAGGTGATATCACAGTTTCTTGCCCCCCCCAGCTGCTGCTCCTTCGAGGACTACAACCTGACCACTGAGTGGCTCCTGAACCACACCTCCCAGCGCCCCAAGGTGGCTGTGATCTGTGGCTCTGGACTGGGACTACTGGCTGACGGAGCCGCGGACAAGCAGACCTTCAGGTACCAGGACATCCCCAACTTCCCCGTCAGCACAGGTGAGTGTGGCCCCGCCCCCTGAGGCTGGGGGGGCGTTAGCTCAACTACAGGCACTGTGTTCAGGTGTTTCATGTGTTTCAGGTGTGTTCAGGTGTTTCAGGTGTGTTCAGGTGTGTTCATGTGTGTTCAGGTGTGTTCAGGTGTGTTCATGTGTGTTCATGTGTGTTCAGGTGTGTTCATGTGTGTTCATGTGTGTTCATGTGTGTTCAGGTGTGTTCATGTGTGTTCATGTGTGTTCATGTGTGTTCATGTGTGTTCAGGTGTGTTCATGTGTGTTCATGTGTGTTCATGTGTGTTCAGGTGTGTTCATGTGTGTTTATGTGTGTTTATGTGTGTTCATGTGTGTTCAGGTGTTTCAGGTGTGTTCAGGTGTGTTCAGGTGTGTTCAGGTGTGTTCAGGTGTTTCAGGTGTGTTCAGGTGTGTTCAGGTGTTTCAGGTGTGTTCAGGTGTGTTTCAGGTGTGTTCAGGTGTGTTCATGTGTGTTCAGGTGTGTTCATGTGTGTTCAGATGTGTTCAGATGTGTTCATGTGTTTCCTGTCTCTCTCCAGTGGCGGGTCATGAAGGCTGTCTGGTGTTTGGGACGATCGAGGACACTTCCTGTGTCTTCATGCAGGGACACTTCCACCTGTATGAAGGTTACTCCCTCTGCCAGGTGGGCCATTACACAGCATGCACCTGAACCTCTCTGAAGTGTTTCCTGGTCTGGTTCTGTTGGGTCCATCAGACTGGGAGGTGCTGTTATCACTGGTATTCCCTTCTGGTCTGAGGAAGGGTCTCAGTGATCAGTTTTGAAAGTCAAGGGTCTCTGGAAAGGGATCTTTTTAAAGAGTCAATAGATCCAGCTCTAGAGGGTCTGGAGGTCCACAAGGAGTCCTTTGAAGGTGCTCCAGTGTTCCCAGAAAGGTTTCCATAGACCCTTTAAGAGGGTCTGTACGTACTTGAAAAGGGTCGTAGGTCGCGTTCACACCAGCTTTGTAGACCTCAGACCTCTGAAGTGAACTAAACAACCTAAAACAGGTGGTCTCAAACCTCTGAAGTGAACTGAACAACCTAAAACAGGTGGTCTCAAACCTCTGAAGTGAACTG